TGTGCTCTGCATATCAAGTTGACTCACGTTGAAGGGGTAGGGAATAGCACCTTAGAATTGGAAATCAATTCCTGGGTTCCCTGGAAGAGCGGTATCCAGGCAGGGGAAGAACATCAAGCGGCTGGCCTTCCCTGACACGGCCTCCTCTTTTCCTAGGCTTTCTCCCGCCTCATCTTGATTCTGCGTGCCCTGCATGTGAACAATGACCGGGCGAAGGTGATCCTGAAGCCAGACAAGACTACCATTACAGAACCACACCACATCTGGCCCACTCTGACCGACGAGGAGTGGATTAAGGTGGAGGTGCAGCTCAAGGATCTTATCTTGGCTGACTATGGCAAGAAAAACAAGTGAGTGTGGTGGTGGCGAGACAGGCGGAGGATCCAAAAAGAGGGAAATGAGTGGCTCAGTATACGGCTTCTGGGCTTTTTGAAACATTTAGGCACAGACATTTCTCCAACAATTGTCCTGGGTGATGCCTATAGAAGAAGGGAAGGCAGGGTCTTCAGATGGTGAAAGAAGTGTCTGTGCTTTGGGGCTTCATGTTGATTTTTGGGGGCATTGTGTTTCAGCAGAGGCACTGTTGCCGTTTTGAGTGGGCTATTTTTTTTTCTTTTAAAGATTTTATTTATTTTGAGAGAGAGGGGAAGGAGGTAGAAAGAGAGGGAGAGAACATCAATGTGTGGTTGCCTCTTGCACACCCCCAACTGGGGACCTGGCCCAAAACCCAGGCATGTGCCCTGACTGGAATCAAACCCGCGACCTTTTGGTTTGCTGGCTGGCACTCAGTTTACTGAGCCATACCAGCCAAGGCACTAGGAGACTTTTTTTAAAAGGTTTTGTTTATCTTTAGAGAAAGGGAGGGAGAGAAACACCAGTGTGTGGTTGCCTGTCATACGCCCCCAACTAGGGACCTGGCCCACAACCCAGGCATGTGCCTTGGCTGGGAATTGAACCAGTAACCCTTTGGTTTGTAGGCCTGTGCTCAGTCCACTGAGCAACACCAGCCAGGGCTTCCTAGGGCACTTTTTGTCAAGGAAAAGTGGGAGGTATGGATGCTGAGCAGGTTTGAACGTAGCTGAAAAGTGCATGTGAACAGGGCCATTCTGGGGTGTGACGATTCTTATCAGTATTAGCACATCTCCACTTCACACTTCCTTTATAAGTGTCACTCGAGGATTGTCTAGGGTAGCATGGTCTCCCCTGTACCACCAAGTTACATTCTTGCCATTGAGGCATAAGTGACCAAGGAGAAGGGATCACTGTGGTATGACCCATTGTCCCCACAGTGTGAACGTGGCATCCCTGACACAGTCAGAAATTCGAGACATCATCCTGGGAATGGAGATCTCAGCACCCTCACAGCAGCGGCAGCAGATAGCGGAGATTGAGAAGCAGACCAAGGAACAGTCGCAGCTGACTGCAACACAGACGCGTACTGTGAACAAGCATGGTGATGAGATCATCACCTCCACCACCAGCAACTACGAGACCCAGACTTTTTCATCTAAAACTGAATGGAGGGTCAGGTACTGTAAGGGGCGAGAGGGGTAGGGATGGAAGGGCCTGCTGGTGCTCCCTAAGGTGCTTGGGTTGAGAAGTGCTCACATCCCTTTCTGTTTTTAGGGCCATCTCAGCTGCCAACCTGCACCTAAGGACCAATCACATCTATGTTTCATCTGATGACATCAAGGAGACTGGTTACACCTATATCCTTCCCAAGAATGTGCTTAAGAAGTTCATTTGCATATCGGACCTTCGGGCCCAGGTTAGTGTGCTCAGCTAGGCCATAGTCACAGGGTGTGCCCAAACATTTTATGTGTCTAAAACTCACCTAAGTTTTCTGGAACTGGAGATGCTGTTTTCAAGATTCATAGATAGGTAAACATACAAGGATAGCCTAAGGAGCAAGGGCAGTTTTGGCTCTACCAGATACCAAAACATTATAAATTTATGGAAGTTAAGAGAATAGCATATAGTCAAACAGATTCATGTGTATGTAATAAATATGGTATATCAAGTCTGTAGGATTAAGGATGCCTTATAATATTGAAACAATTAACAAAAGGCAATCTAGATCCCTACCTCACACTACTTAGAAAAATAAAACCCAGGTGGAGTAAAGGTCTGAGTGTAAAATACTAAATAAACTGTAGAGTATTGGAAGAAAATACCACCTTAGTTTTGGGATAGACTTCTTAAAGAAGACACAAAGCATAAAGCCACAGTCACAATGAATAACTGGTTGGAGTGTCATCCCAAACACCGAGAAGGTTGTGGGCTTGATTCCTGGTCAGGGCACCTAGAGGATGCAACTGCTCAGTGCCTCTTTCTAAAATCAATAAAAACATGTCCTCAAGTGAACATTCTTTAAAAATTAAATAACGTGTGTGTGACAAGGGGTAAAGACAAACTAAAAACAGAAAGGAAATGTTTACATAAATCTAGACATAATGGATTAGGATTTGGAATAGGGAATAGTCAGAAGTTGATTTTTTTAAAAAGGATACCTGTAGAAGAATGGACAAAGAATATGAATGTAGTTCAGAAAAGGAACTACAGATGGCAAATATAATGAAAAAATGCTCATCTTTACTAGTAATCATGAGGATTCATGTGTTATAAAATTCCACATATGGCCTCTGTTTGGTGAACCTTAAAAGATTGTTAATATCCTTTGTGGGGGAGTTAATCGGGACACAGGTCCTCTTACCTTGTTAATGGCAATGTTAAATTTAAAATACCACCTAGAGTTGGTTTTAAAGGTATGTTCGTAAGCTGTGCACGTGTGTGCTCTTTTGTTTATGGATACTAAAATAATCAACTGCGGAGCATGTGAGCAGTGCAGATTCCTGGACCCCACCCAAGAGATTCTGATGTGGCAAGTCTGAGATGAGATCCATGTTTAATGTTGTGACCAAATACCCCAGGTGATTCTGATGTGGTAGATTCTGACTACATTTTGAGAAAGTCTGTCCTTGTTCTTGGGGGAGGGAAGGAAACACAGGGCTAACAGCCCAGAGTCTAGGCTGATACTAAGAATTGTTTTGGTTCTTGACCCCCTTGTCTACAGATTGCAGGATACCTGTATGGGGTGAGCCCCCCGGATAACCCCCAGGTGAAGGAGATCCGCTGCATCGTAATGGTACCACAGTGGGGCACCCACCAGACCGTGCACCTGCCTAGCCAGCTGCCCCAGCATGAGTACCTCAAGGTAATGGGGGTGTGGGAGAACAGGGGCTCTCTGCTCTCAGGGTGGGGGAGGGAGGGCAGGCCTGTTGTTCTCACCAGTGGAATTCCTGTCTGCAGATAGGGCTCTAAGTAGTTGTTCACTGCTCTTGACTATAGGAGATGGAACCCTTAGGTTGGATCCACACTCAGCCCAATGAGTCCCCCCAGCTATCACCCCAGGATGTCACCACCCATGCCAAGATCATGGCTGACAACCCGTCCTGGGATGGCGAGAAAACCATCATCATCACCTGCAGGTGGGCCGGAGCCCCCTTGGGAAGAAGTGTGGTGGGATTTGACATTGCAGGCCAGGGACCAGGATGGTGGCCTAAGCGCTGACGTTACCCTCATCGTTCTTTCAGCTTCACGCCAGGTTCCTGCACGCTGACAGCCTACAAACTGACACCCAGTGGCTACGAGTGGGGCCGCCAGAACACAGACAAGGGCAACAACCCCAAGGGCTACCTCCCTTCGCACTATGAGAGGGTCCAGATGCTGCTGTCAGACCGCTTCCTTGGCTTTTTCATGGTCCCTGCCCAGTCCTCATGGAACTACAACTTTATGGGTAAGTGGGGAGCACAGGGAAGTGGGGATGGGGTTAGGCCATCATCCTTAACGCTCAGGGCCTGACTGTTTTGGAGATGGGCCAGGGGCCCCAGTGGGGTGAGGCGGGCAGACCTCGTTAACATTGGACGTTTTCATCTACCCCAAGGTGTACGGCATGATCCCAACATGAAGTATGAGCTACAGCTGGCAAACCCCAAGGAGTTCTACCATGAGGTGCACAGGCCCTCCCACTTCCTCAACTTTGCCCTCCTGCAGGAGGGTGAGGTCTACTCCGCGGACCGAGAGGACCTCTACGCCTAGTTGTTTGCCATCCTCCTCCTGCTTCAGACTCCCCAAAGGCTCTGGAGACTCTTACCCCCACAGACAAGCTGTTGACATTCAGCAGCTTGGCCCCTTTTTCCTGTATTTTGTCCTCCTTGTATTGTGGACCTGGTGGCTTGTAATCCTGAACAGAGTATAATAAATTTTGTATAAATTGGAGTTGTGAAGTCGTCCCCCCCACCAGCTCAAATTCTGGGTGTAGGATTGCCAGGAGGCTGGGCTCTGCCTTGAGGGGAAAGGAGGGCCCCTATGAGGGGCTGTGGGGCTAAATATCCCCTAGACTTGGGGAACTGATGCTGGGGGTGGGGGGCTTTTACACTTTTACTACTTGACCACATTTGCTCATTTCACTCCAAAATACTTGCAGATCGTCACTCCTTGCTGCCATTTCCTGAGCCTAGAAGCTTGTGGCTTGCTCTCTGCAGCTGTGGTGCCCAGCCTAGCCCCTTAAGCTTTGTGTCACTCCTGACAGAGAAATAGGCACAGGGCTGGACAGTTGGCTGCCTCCGGCTGAGGCCAGTGACTGCCCTGGACTTCTCACCTCTTGCTCATGGGTTTGGCAGCCCAGTGGGGCCCCATGACTCCCGACATGGGGGTGGAGCCTGGGTTGGGCACCGGGGAGGGCTTGACAAAAGTGACCGCTTACCAGCCCTGAGCCTCAGCTTTTGGACGCCTGGCTGGAGGTTAGCTGTGCAGCTTCCTGTGACCTTGGGGACTTGAACTGGACGGCCCGGGGACCCGGGGCGCTGTCTCCACCCACGCTGTTTTGTTTTCCTTACTCGCTCCTCCCCTGTCGCTTCTACCCTACCCTCTACTGACCTAAACTGCTTCCTGGGCGGGAACTGCTTGGCTTTTCCGTGCACCAGTTAGAGTTGGGGGGGACTGGCAGCCCTTGGCCTCCGGGGTGCATGGAGCCCAGGAGGGCGGCGCCTGGGGAGCATGGCTGGGGGCCTCGAGGGGCCACGGGGGTGGAGACGGCCGCGGAGCTTGTGTACCATCTAGCCGGGGCCCTGAGCACTGAGCTGAAGGATCTAGCGCGCCGCTTCGGGCCGGAGGCTGTGGCCGGGCTCGTGCCTCTCGTGGTGCGGGCGCTGGAACTCCTAGAAAAGGCTGCAGTCGGGCCCGCCCCCGACTCGGTGAGTCACTGCCCGCTCTCTTCGCCACCCGTGGGGCTGGCCGGGTCCTAACCCTGAGAGCTCGGCCTCCCCAGCTGCAGGTGTCGGCGCTGCAGGCCGAACTGGAGCTGCAGCAGCTGCGCAAGGAGAACGAGCACCTCCGCAGAGAGTTGCGCTGCGGTCCACAGGGTGAGTGTGGCTTGGCAGGCGGTGGGGTGGGGGTGGGGGTGGGGGTGGGGGTGGGGGTGTCTGGGAGGCTCGGAGCCTACCTCCCGCGAGCCGCTGCCAAGACCACCCCTTTCTCAGAGGAGCGGGCTCTGCTGCGGCAGCTCAAGGAAGTGACCGATCGACAGCGGGATGAACTGCGGGCGCACAACCGTGACTTGCTGCAGCGCAGCCAAGAGACGGAGGCGGTGAGGGCGCAGAGAGGCAGGGGCGTGGGGCCGAGCTCCCTCGGCGCCGCGCCCACCAGCCCTACCCTTTGCTCCGTCCCTAGTTGCAGGAGCAGCTGCAGCGCCTCCTGCTGGTGAATGAGGAGTTGCGGCACAAGCTGGCCGCGGTGCAAACCCAGCTGCGCGCTGCACGGGACCGCGAGAGCGAGCGGGAGCTGCAGCGTCGAGGGGCCGTGGAGATGGCTCAGCAGCAGGCACGAGAACAGGCCGGGGGTCCTGGGTGTGAGCAGAGGCAGGTGCCCGAGCAGGTGAGCGCCGAAGCAGGAGTCCCGGGGACCCCTCAGGACCCGGTCAGTGCCCGCTAAGGTCAGGGACCCTTCCTAGTACTGACAGCATCTGGCACTTGGTGGGCACTCGGGAAAGGTTTGCTGTGCTGCGTAGCAGGCCCAGTGGGAAGTTGGAAGGTGGCATACAAGTATGCCCCCCCAAGCCAGCCTCTGTCCCACTCTGGTCTAGAGCACCCTGTCACCTGTTGTAGCGCCCTTGTTTCCCGAGTCTCCCTGCCAGTCACTCCCTCTAGCATTCCTGTGACGACCCAGGGGCAGAGAAGTGCCAACCAAGGCCGCCCTCAGACCAAGCCTGCCCTTCGCAGGAGGATGCCGCCCAGCAGCCACAGCAACCGTCTAACATAGGGCAGTGTGGCTTCAGTCGAGAGGAGCTTGAGCAGATCCTTCAGGAGCGGAATGAGCTCAAAGCCAATGTTTTTCTGCTGAAGGAGGAGTTGGCCTACTTCCAGCGGTGAGGACGCTGGGCAGGAGCTGGGAAGCTGAGGGGCTGCAGTCACCTGTTCCTGGGCCTCAGGTCACCTGCCTCATTCTTTGGCTCAGTGACATGTGCCAGGCACTGTGCTGGACACTGGAAGGTCATGAATCACACAGCCTCTGCCCTCCTGGGACTTCATCCAGTGAGGGGGGTGGACAGTGCAAAGGGTCACGAGGAGCAGTGACACCTAAGCTAAGGTTTGAGGGCTGTTAGTAAGGCACAGTGTTTCAAAAGAGGGTACTTTGGTGTGAGACTTACTGTTGGCATCTCGGTCACTTTTCCCCTGCCCTTTCCCCTCCCCTGTAGGGAGCTCCTCTCAGACCATAGGGTCCCTGGGCTTCTGCTGGAAGCCATGAAGGTGGCTGTCAGGAAGCAACGGAAGAAGATCAAGGCCAAGATGCTAGGGACCCCAGAGGAAGTGGAGAGCAGGCAAGTCCCGGCCTTCATTCCCACTGAGCCAGCGCTCCCTCTTCGTGCTGGCTTGATGACCCAGCCTGGTCATACTCTAACCCTGCCTGGCATCTCCTAAGTCTACAGACCGCTCAGGTTACCGCATTTAGCTTGCTGACCCCAACCCGGTTATTTTCTGAGTCTTTTGTCTCAGGCTGAGCCTATCACCGCAGCCTGGTTGCCCCCTGACTATGCCACTCTAGTCGCGTTTGAACTTGCTAACCTGGCCTGGTTATGTCCTGAGCCTGTTCTGTAGCCTGCGCCGCTGAGCCTGCCTCTGAGCCTGCCTCGTCACCCCCGGGCCTGCTGTCCTGAGCCTGCCATCCTTCTCTCTGGATCGCACTTGCCATCCTCGCTATGCCTCCTGCTGAAGAACCCCGCTAACGCTGTTCCTCCACATCCATTTTTCAGTTCCCTGTCCCAGCTGTATCTGTTTGTTCTCAGAGGGGTAAGACTGTGGCTGTGGGACCTCCACAGAAAGCCAAAAGGACTGGGTTCAAAGAGCGTCTGGGTTGGTGAACACACGCAGATGCGGGAGTAATGGCGGGCCCAAAGAGGGCACGGAAGCCCCGTGCCTTTTCCCCGTACTTTGCCCTCTGCACCTCTTCCGTCTGCCCATTCCTGACTTATATCCGTTATATCCTTTTATAATAAATCAGTAATCTAGTACGTAAAAAACCCCCGAGAAATGAAAAGTCTGTAACTACAGCCTGTCAGGGGCCTGTTGTCCATCAAGCTATAAAATAAAAGTCTCAGGATATCCTTCATCTCCCCAGTGTCTCCTCTCCAGACTTGGGGGTCGTGTTGTCATTCTGTCCTCCCCTGCCTGCTCCTGGGGGCCTCACAGAAGGCTGACCATAGCTGTAGTCCCGTTTCCCCTTTTGGCCTTGATAAATGACCCTCTTTTTCCTCTTTCCTCTGCCTCAGTGACGATGAGGATGGCTCATGGGTCCTGCTCTCCAGCCAAAAGGGAGACCACCCCCCGCCCACTGATTCCAGGATACAGAGTTTGTATGTTGGGGGAAGAGGAAGGGCAAAGGTGGTGGTGGTGAAGCGGGCCCCGCGACAGTTCTTTTCGGCATCCCGTTCCCTGCTCCCCCCACGCCCCCCCCCCCCGCGCTGTCCTGAGCTCCAAGCGTGCCTCTCGCCTTCTGCGCTTCTCTGACCCTGGCCCCTTCACTTCCCCACTACTTCACGCTGCCCTTTCTTCCTCCTATATCCCCGTTTCTCACTGTCCCCTGTCCTCAGCCCCTATCCTTGATCTCTCTGGCATCCAGGCTCAAAGTACCTCTCGGCTCTTCCCCTAGCTTTGGCCAGTGTTATAGGGGCGGAGCAGAGGCCCCCGAAACCAAGACCAGCAGCACAGCTCCTGGCGAGCTAGGGGGAGAAGAAGAGACCCCGCAGCAACCCCACGTGGAACTTACGGGCAGTTCCTGATCGGCCCTGCCCTACCCTCAGTGAACACCTTTGTCTGGGGGTCTCAGGTGCCCCAGAGGCTGGACTGTGGAGTCTGACTGTGGATGGATGTGTGACCTCAAGTGAGGACAGGGCTCCCTCCTTCCCAGCTCTCCCAGGCTCTTTCCCAATCTTGGCCTGACCCAGGGCATCGCTGGAGCTCGGCCTGTCTTCCTCCCCTATATCTCTGAGCTCAGCGACTGTCGTCAGATAAAAGTGCTTCGTCTGTGAGTCTCAGTTTCCCCATCCATGAAATGGAGAACTGACTATCTACCTCCCAGTGATTTGTGCAGATTGCCTAAACTAATGCAATAAAGTAACTGCCCGTGATACCCGGAAACTGTTCCATGTCTGTCTGTCACTAGTCTGCCCTCCCTTCCCCGCGGCTTGGGCAGGGGTGAGGGCAGGCTGAGGTTCCTCACAGGGTCTCCCTGGTCGTCACTGGGTGGGGAGGCTTCTCCCCGCTTGGGCCTCACTGAGGATATGACCTAATGGAAAATTGTAGCTGCCCCCCTCACCCCACCCCCTTGCCTGCTCCCGATACCCCATGGCTTACAGCTTCATCTTCCTTCCCTCTCCAGACTGAAACCAGCCCCTTAAGCCCCAACTCAGCACTTGGCACTGGCCCACCTTTCCCTCCCATTTCTCTAGTGTCGCCAGTCTTCCCAACACCTAGTGCCCAACCCTCTCAGGGAGGTGCCTCATGGCAGCCCGCCCCTCCGGCCTGGTTTCCTCAGGAAAAGCCTTGGGAGGAAACAGGGAGGGGTAGACAGCTGTGGGGGCCAGGTTAACTCCAGCCCTCTCACGGCACTGGCCACCATGGGGTTGCGGCTGCTGCTCCCGCTGCTACTGCTCTGGACTCCGAGGACCCAGGGGTCTGAGCTGGACCCTAATGGGCGGCATGTCTGCGTGACCAACAGGTGGGTATTGCGGGAGTCTGATGTGGAGTGGTGGCTGAACTGGGGCGGAGGCATGGCGGAGAGGAGGAAGTGAGAGAAGCGGTCATGGGGCTGAAGCAAAGGAGGCTTGGGATCAGCAGGGGGTGGGGTGTGGGCAGTCAGGACAGCGGGTGGCAAGGCCAGGGAAGGAGAGGGACAGGGTTGGGGTCAGCGGGGCTGCGACTCTCAGCTAGGCCTGCCTGGTGGGGCTGAGGCAGGCTCCCCCATCTCAGCCAGAGACAGTGAAGCGCCTTTGAAACCAGGCTGCCTGCTGGCTGACCCCTCTCTGCCCCCACAGCCCCTCTGCTGAGCTCCAGTGCTGCCCAGGGTGGAGACAGAAAGACCAAGAATGCACCATTCGTGAGTAGCCGAGACCAACCCCCGCTCCCCACAGGGCCTATTTCCCCTCCTGAGCCCAGGAGCTACAGTCCACCCTGTGACACACACCCAGCCCTGTGACACACACACCCAGCCCTGAGGGGACAGCTGTTGAGGGGGCAGGGAACCAGGAGCCAGCGAGAGGGCAGAACGTCCCCTGGTCAAGCCCCAGTCTTTCTGACTTGAGTGGGGTGTTTTCCAGCCATCTGTGAGGGGCCCGATGCCTGCCGGGAAGGCGAAGTGTGCGTGAAGCCAGGCCTCTGTCGATGCAGACCTGGATTCTTCGGGGCCCAGTGCAACTCCCGTGAGTCCTGAGTCTCGCCTGGGGGATGAAGTTGCTGGGCAGACCTGGGAAAGCAGGGAGGCAACGCAGGTAGGACCGTTGTCTTAGAACAGCAGAGCCAGACCCTCTCCAAGCTAAGGAAATTGAAGCCCAGGGACAGGAAGTGACACTCCTGGGTAATGCCCTGAGTCACCTGGCTTTTACTTCTATCCATAAAGCCCTACGCACAGTTTCATTTCTGGGCCCTTCACCTTCCTTTTTAACTCGGAGGAGTTGCTGGTGATTCCTGTTAATTGCAGAATGGATGCATTCTCAGCCTCCCCCACACATACCTATACATGTGTGGTGGGTGGAAGGAGGGTGGTGGCCAGGCTCTCGGCCCTCTCTGGCAGAAAAGAAGGGCATGGGAAAGCGGTTGGTGGGCAGGGTAGCCAGGGGGCAGCCATCAGGAACCGAGGTTGAGAGGAGACCTGGGAGGAAATGTGGCTGCTTCTCCAGCAACCCTGATGGGCAGCATCCATCCAGGCCTGCCCTGGGCCGAGGGCATCTCCAGCCTAGGGGAGGAACCCAGTGAGAGGGAGGAGGGGGCATGAATGAAGCGCCCCGCCCCCAGACACACACACACACACACACACACACACACACACACACACACTCTCTCTTCCGTATGACTCTGGGCAATCCCCTTTCCCCACTCAGGATCTTGGAGGCTGGGTCACTGCTAAGGGCTTTTGTAGTTCAGAATCTGGGGCAGGAAGTGAGCTTTGCTCCCAGAGGATATGATACCAGATGTTCCAAAGGTCTGTTCCTGGCTCTTGAAGGATGGGCCTGGTGCCCCTCTTCGTTGTGCAAGGGGGCCCAGAGTCTGCATCGGTGCCAGGCCCGAGCCCACTGACCCCCTTTCGTCTCTCCCCACCTGCTCCCTTCCCTGCCCCGCAGGCTGCCCGGGCCAGTACTGGGGCCCCGACTGCCGTGAGAGCTGCCCCTGCTACCCCCATGGCCAGTGTGAGCCTGATACTGGCGTGTGCCGCTGCCAGGCCAACCGCTGGGGCAGCCGCTGCGAGTTCGAGTGCTCTTGCAGCCCTCAGGGGCGTTGTGACCCGAAGACAGGCGCCTGCTCCTGCGAGCCCGGCTGGTGGTCGACCAAGTGCCAACACCGGTGCCAATGCAACAAAGTGGCGGCGCGCTGTGACCAAAACACGGGCTCCTGCCTGTGCGAGGCGGGCTGGTGGGGCCGCCGCTGCAGCTTCCGCTGCAATTGCAATGGCTCCCCTTGCGCGCAGGAATCGGGCCGCTGTGCCTGCCGGCAGGGCTGGTGGGGCCGCGACTGCCAGCAGCAGTGCGAGTGCGTGCGCGGCCACTGCAGCCCCGCCTCCGGCCAGTGCGCCTGCCCGCCCGGCTTCCGCGGCGCTCGCTGCGAGCTGCCCTGCCCGGCAGGCCGCTACGGGACGCAGTGTAGCCACCGGTAAGCGGGGCCAGCGGGCGGGGGCACCCGGGCGGGGCGCTGGGGGCGGGGGGGAAGCAGGTAGAGGTTGCAAACGGAAGAAAGAGGTGGAGGGAGTGTTAAGAGCAGGAGGGAGAAAGCTGCGGGGAGCTCTCCATAAAAATCTACTAGGGCAGGATGAAAGGGTATTAAAAGACCCTCAATGCCCCGAGGTTCGGTTTCCCACACCCTTTTCATCCAGTTACTGTTAAACAATAACAACAAAATGCTAGTATAGCAAGCCATACTTAGATAAAGAATGAGTCACGTGCCAAAGTGATTGCAAGGTCCCGTTGAGACGAAGTGACTTTCAAACTTTGACCAGCTCCATTCACAATAATGCGTTTTACGTCCCACCTAACACATACACCCGTATATATACAAACACAGCTGAACTTATCTTTACTACATATATAGTATGCGATAATATGTGAATAAATAACGTGCAATGTACTGTAATGTTTTCTAGTCTCTCTCTCCCCCCTTTTTTTTTATTGCTGGGCGGGAAATGCTACACTAATTTTAGGAACTCCCCTCCTCCCCCACTAATGAGTCTAATCAAAGCATATGATTCCAGATAATTAAGTATCTGAGGGATAAACTTCTAGAAACTGTTAAGGATCAATGAGAAATTAAGATAATATGAACCTAATTGGAGAACTTGCTAAGAGAGTAAATCCTAAGAGTTCTCATCACAAGGAAAAAAAATTTTCTTTCTTTCTTTTTTTTTTTTTTTTGTCTCTATAAGAGGTAGTGGCTATTAACTAAACTTTTTGTGGCAGTCATTTCACAGTACATGCAAGTGAAGTAATTGTGCTGTCCACCTTAAACTTACACAGTGCTGCATGTCAATTACATCTCACTAAAACTCGGGGACATTTTCAAAGATAATATAAACTTGAAATTATAGTGGTGGAAACCGACATTAAGATGCTTTTATTTTTATTAATTTTCTTGTTATGGGACAGGAGATAAACTACCGAGGCCCACCCCTGTCAGGGATAGTATGGGTAGAATGGTGCTGGGCAGAAGGGACGCAAGGATTGGGGTGGTAGCTCCCGGTGACCCTGGGACCCAGGGGCCCAGGGAAGGATGAGTCTCGGAATGGGGCACTGGGAGGAGAGGGCTGGAATTCTACTAGAGCCTGTAGAGATCATTTGTGCAGCCCCTTTGTAAGTACAACACCGGGAGCTGAGGCTAAGATCTGCCTGAATGACTTAGCAGGGACCTGGGTGCTCTCCAGCGCCCCTGGAGGCCTGGGTGGGCACTCCGTCCATTTGCCCTGAGCGTTTCCCACCGACTTTTCCCAGCTGTGGCCACTGCAAGCAGAATGAGCCGTGCTCTGCAGACGTTGGCAGCTGTGAGTCCTGCGAACCCGGCTGGAACGGGACCCAGTGCCTCCAGCCCTGCCCACCTGGCACCTTTGGTGAGAGCTGCGGGCAGCAGTGCCCCCGCTGCCAGCTTGGGGAGGCCTGTCAGCCAGATACTGGACACTGTCAGAGCTGTGACCCTGGCTGGCTGGGGCCCAGGTAAGGGGCCAGGCTGCTCAGGGTGGGGTGCACTTTCCTTCAGGATCCTCAGCCCAGCTGCTCCCTCTGGAATAGGTCCCCTCCCCCAAACACACATTCACACAGCCCTCTGGGGGGGGCCTGCCCCTTGGCGAAGACTAAAGGGAGAGAGATGGCTGCTGATGAGGCCCTGGGCCGGGTTCTCTTCCAGCTCCCTGCTGCTCAGGTCTCCTGCCCTCCACTCCTTCCAGGGATTCTAGTCTCTGTAGCCTGTTGGGTTTGGCCCCACCTTCACGGTCCTATTTGTCCCTGAGCTTCACTGCTGAGGACCCGCAGTTGGGTTCCTGAGTCCAGAAGCAGCGGGGAAGATGGGTAGGGCCCCGTTCAAAGTCTTGCCTCCCCTCAGGTGTGAAGACGCCTGCCCAAGTGGCACCTTTGGGGAGGGCTGTGGCTCGACCTGCCCCACCTGTGTTCAGGGGGCTTGTGATGCTGTGACTGGGGAATGTGTCTGCAGCACTGGCTACTGGGGACCCAGGTGAGGACTGAGGCCCTGGCAGAGAAGCAGGGGCCTAGGTCAGGCCTCCGTGCAACCTGCTTCCTTAACTTCCCTTCCTGGGCTTCTCCACCTCCCACATACCCACATGGCATCCTCGTAACTGCGAAGTGACCCTTCCTGTTGTGGGGTCCGCATCTTCCAAAGGTGGGTCAGAGTCAGTCTCACTGTAAAAGACCTGGCTCCCTACCTCAATGGGGAAGGAATTTAGGGGTAGAGCTCCAAGACCCACTGTTGTTTCCCTAAGGTCTTAAGGTGGTAAAACCTAATCCATGTCAGTGTCTCCAGTGTCTGGCTTTCCAGCTGTGGGACAGGATCTAGTATAACGTGGAAGAGACCCTATTTGTTTCATAGGAAAGGACCAAGGCCCGAAGAGGTAGGCGTGGGGCCGGACCTGGCTCAGACTCGCAGCCCCCGAGGATGTCTCTGCACGCCATCGGCATCTCACTTGGTTCATGTGTAGCAGGGTGGGCGAGGGATGAGGATTCTGAGAAGTGGACTCTGGCCGAGGGTTACACCTGGCGCTGGGAGCCCAGGGACAGCTTGTGCGTGCTCTCCCTGGAAGACAGGTTTAGGGGCTGAGGGATTCTCCCAGCACTGCCAGGGGTGCTGAGAGTGTGGCTCAGAGGTGGGAGGAGCCTGCCCAGGCCCCATTCAGGGAAGTCTGAATGGCGGGGCAGAGAGCGGTGCCCAGAAATCTACCTTCCCCTTCCCCCGCCCACCTCTATCCCTCCTCACCCAGCCTCAGCCTGTCTCTCCTTGTCACCCGACAGCTGCAACGCTTCATGCCCAACCGGCTTCCATGGAAACAACTGCTCCGTCCCCTGTGAATGCCCAGAGGGACCCTGCCACCCTGTCTCTGGGGCCTGCCAGCTCGGTAAGGTGGAAAGGAGAGTGTAGGTATAGTAATCAGGGAAAGACTGGCCCTTTACATGGGCTCCAGAAGCTCATTTTTTGCTAGGGAGTCTGAGGCCTCTTCAGAGACATTCCCTATGCCTGAAATCTATAGGGATGCTTTGGGGTCCCCTGAAGATGTGACAGAGCCTCTGTTCTCTGAGAAACCAGGCTAGCACTGAGGAAGAGAGCAGGTAGGGGCTGGACACTATGATGTGCATCAGTCATGAGAACTAGGGGCAAGGGCTTGTGGGACAGACCATGGACCATCAGAACGGAACAGACCAGCAGGGTGGCTGTCTGGAGGAGGCGGCCTCCAGGCTGAATGGAGTCTGTGTCTTTCGGAAGAGGGACCCACAGGTGGGAGGCTCTGGGGAGGAGGCAGCTCAGCTAGAGATGAGATGCATGGGAGACAGGAAGGCCCTGAAGGTTTGACAGGTGCCTACCCCAACAGGGCCTCGCGGCCAGGATGCTGCCCTCATTGCCGGCATCCTTGTGCCTCTGCTGCTGCTCCTCCTGGGCGTCGCCTGCTGTGCCTTCTGCTGCTGGGCCGCCCGCCTGGACCCCAAGGACAGGTGAATGCTGGCTTTCCTTTTCCGGGCGGGGAAGGGCTGGCCTTATCACACACTTGAGTCAGGATTGACGGGGTAGATGGCCGTGGCCGTGGCCCAGAGACGTCAGGTCAGCCGCTTGCCCTCCTCAGATGCCTTCGAGGGGAGTCACACGGGCAGGGTTACCAGGCTGGTGTAACTCAAACCCATGGCGCGAGGCTGAGGGTTTACTAACTAACAGGGGCCAAGGGAGGAGGGTGCAAAGGCGAAAGCAGCAGGCAGCTCTGGGCAGGGTGTGGAAAAGACCAGGCCTCACCCCCCCGCAAAAGGGAGAGTGACATAAAAGTCGGAGCAGTGGCCTAGCCGAGAATGTGGCTTTCCCAGAAAAGAAGAGGAAGGGTTTGGCCGTGCAGCCTGCTGCAGACCGTGGCTCCGGGAAGAGCTTTGTTTCCTTATAAAATCTCATCGCACTTCTCTGCTGCTTGGAGATTCCCAGCAGCACGGAGGTTTGGAGCAGGGAACGTGAGGGCAGGAGGATTAGCAGAGGATGGAGGACACTGATAAGGTGACTTGGCCAATCACTGGCACACAGGAAGCTTGGGTCCTGTTTTCCGGACTCTTTGTCCGGCGCTCTCCTACAGTTCGTGCACTAACCCTGCAGTATGTCATCTTCTGTGCTGACCTAGTAGTCTGTCCCCTGGGGCGTAGAGCCTGGGGTGGGCCAGGAGACCCTCCCGTGAGGACCAGGACATGTGCAAAGGCTGTTGGAGGAACGACAGGGAGTGAAGCAGTCACTTCCAGTGTCTGGGAGGGGCCACGGGCAGGCTGTCTGGAAGTGGTGTCACTTCCAGAAGCCAGGTGAGCTGGGATCATGATACAGCGGAACTGCATTTTGGGGAACCCCACCTGGTGCCTGGTGCTGTGTGGGGTCCTGAAAAAAGCTCTTGATAGATGGTAGTTGTCCCCATTTTACAGATGAGGTAACTGAGGCCCAGAAAGAGGAAAAGTTTGAGCAGAGTTTCTGCCCCAGGTCCGCTTGACTTTAGAGCCATGCCGCCCTTTGTGGCGGGCCCAAATCTCGGGCTCAGTGAGGGACTAGGACGGCCCTGGCCCTTTCCCCCTGCTGCCAGCCGACCCCAGCCAGGGGTCTTACACACTGACCACCCTCCTCAGGCTGGCGAGAGATGGAGCTGCTGTGTCCAGGATGAAGCTCCAGGTCTGGGGGGCACTGACCAGCCTGGGCTCTGCGCTGCCCTGCCGTTCCCTCAGCAACCACAAGCTTCCCTGGGTGACAGGTAGGCGGGCGCTGAGGGTCGGGGGCTGGAATGGGCAAGGCTTCCCATCAGGCTCTGCGCCTGACCCGGAGCCCTCTGCAGTCTCCCACCACGACCCGGAGATCCCCTTCAACCACAGCTTCATCGAGCCACCCTCTGCCGGCTGGGCCTCGGACGACTCCTTCTCTTCTGATTCTGAGTCTGGAGAGGAGGACGAGGGTCCTGCCTACTGCGTGCCACCCCGAGAAGGTAGCCCCCCTGCAGCCCTTGGGTCTACTTCAAATCCTTCTGATCCCTTTGTCCTACAGAAATAACCATCCTCCTTGTTGTATTACTTCTGTAAATTGTACAAACATCTGTTGTGGTATACAGAATGGAAACGAGATAGATTCTCATCCTTACCAAACTTTTAGTCTGGTGGGCGGTGATCAGACAGTCGTAGGACAAAGTGATATGTGCTTTGATGGTGGACATACAAGGAAGGACTATCATCCAGCCATTTCAGGGCAGATTGGGGTCAGGGAAGATGTCTCCGTGTTAGTGATGCTGGAGTTGAGTCTAGCAGAATTAGGAGTTAGCCAAGCGAGAGTTAGGGAGAGAAGGGAATGGTGTCTCAGGAAGGGGGGACAGCGGACACAAAGGCCCAGAGCTGACAGGGACATGGCTGGTTAGAGCATGGCGTTAGGTCAAAGTAGGGAGGGGAGAAGAAGGTGCGGAAGTAGTGTCTATTGAATAGGCCCTGCCCCTGGCTCTCCGCATCCTCGCCCTCTCCCCTGCCCCATTTTTGAGGCCTCCCAGAAGAAGCTGACCTGGGTAAGCAGGGTGCGGTGGGGTGGCCAACCCAGCTTTGGCCAAGCTCCTCTGTCTCCTCTGCCAGGGATAGTCCCTGTGACCCAAGCAGAGTCGCCGGAGGCCAGCCTGGTCGGAGGTCCCTTCCCACTCCCTGAGGATGCCTCCACACCATTCGCCATCCCACGCACTTCCAGCCTAGCACGGGCCAAGCGACCATCGGTCTCCTTTGCTGAAGGCACCAAGTTTGCACAGCAGAGTCGCCAAAGCTCAGGGGAGCTCTCCAGCCCACTCCGAAAGCCCAAGCGGCTCTCCCGGGGGGCCCAGCCGGCTCCTGAAAGCCAGGAGGCTGAGGGGTCCACAGGCCCTGAGCAAGCAGAAAGGGATAAAGCCTCTCCTGAGGCAGCCAGCCCCAGGGATTCAGCCACTGGCCACCGCCGGCTTCCACTTGGTGGCCGGACAGTGGCTGAGCGTGTGGAAGCCATTGAAAACAGTGTCCAGGAGAGCTCAGACTCCGTAACCACAATCTACATGCTGGCAGGGACACCCCGGGAATCGGAGGGCCCGGTCCGGTCTGTCCTCCGCCGTTTTGGTAGCTTCCAGAAAGGCCAAGCAGAGCCCAAGGTCAAGAGTGCCATCCCCAAGCTTCCACATCGGGCACTGAGTCGGAACAAGGGCAGCCCCAGGCTGGCCTCTGGCTCTGCTAGTCAGAGCGCTGGCTCAACCCCAAATGAGGAGCTCACCGGGGCCGTGGAGTCTGCAGGAACCGGGCCAGAGGAAGCAGCCCGGGGAAAGAGGGATGGCATCAAGAGCTCAGGGAGGGTCCAGGAGCCGGCCCCTGAGGGTGGCTCCCCAGAACAGGAGCCCCAGAAGCTGGCTGGTGAGGAAGGGCAGGAGGAGCCCCAGTATGAGAATGTCGCCCCCATCTCTGGGCCACCAGAGCCCTGAGGACCATGAATTTGGGGAGCGGGGAAACTAGGGATGCAGGAGTAGGCATCCCAACTGCCCTTGCCTCTGATTGTGTTTTGTGCTGAAAAAAGGTCCCAGGGCCAGGAAAGACCTACGAGGACCTCTGCCCCTCTATGGGGAAATGTCCGAGGGAGAGGCCAGTTGGCTCTGGGCCCTGGCAGTGCTCCGGGGACGGTCTGGGGAGCCTGGGCAGAGATCCCATGGGATGGGGTCAGGGAGGGGAACGCGACGGCTGCAGGGACTTTCTCTCTGTTGTCCTGGACTCTGTTTACCCCAAAAGGCTATTCTTTCCTTCATTTGCAAAATATTTTTCTGAAATGGGAAACAACCTAAATATTTGACGATAAAAGATTGGTTAAAGAAATATTTTTTTATGATAGGTTCCTAAACAACCATGAAAAATTATGTTGTGCAAGAATATGCAATATGGGAGACATGGGAGAATATTCATGCTATACTGTTAAGTATACACCTAAGTTTTCTTTTTATAAATTACATTTCTTTTTGCATCAGGATACATGTTTAGAATTCTCCCTTTTGTGTATATTTTGTGGATGGATTTACAAACTTTTAAAAGGCTGTATGTCCATAAAGTTTCAGAGGAAAGACATCAAATCACATTTTTCTCTCAGATGAGATTGATATTTATTTTCTTTTTAAACTTCTGTATAATTTGCTGATTTTTTACAAAGTGAACATTCTTTTTACTTTTATCATTAATTCTTTTTTAAAAAGCAATACTCTTTGTTAAAAATAAATAGGACTAACATCACAGACATGTATGAAGTAAAAATGAGGTTTCCCTTCTCTCCAGAGGAGTCTAGGGGACCAGGGAGAGGCAGCTTTACTTTTCATCGAATGCCTTTTGGTCTTATTCCGAATCCTTTCGATACACACTTGTGTTAACTAGTCAGGAAATAAAAGAGTGGCTTCCCCTCCTATCTCAGTGCTCAGAGGATCTCATGAACAGTTTAGATACTTTCAGAAGTTTTTCTGTGCACATGAAAACAAAAGAGCATACTCTTCTGCAATTTGCTCTTTTACTTAACAATGCATCCTGGATTATCTTTTGGTGTCAGTAAATATAAAGCTACCTCTTTTTACAAAAAATGGCTACATGAGATTCCATCATGTGGAAATAACACAGGTTATTTAAACCATCCCCTACTTACGGGGATTTAGGCTGTTTCTAATTGTTTTGATACAATAAATGATGCCGTGTACAACTTTGTCCATATTACTTTTTTATGTTCGTGCAAGGTTTTCTGTAGAAGAGATTCCTGGGAGTAGAATTGCTGGGTAATGGAGTGAGAACATTAAACATTTGCAGACTTATTCCAAATTGCCTTCCAGAAAAGTATGGTTTTTGTGTTCTCACAAATTATGGAGGTATCTGTTTCTTCACACCCAATTTGGTAAGTTCAAAATGGTATCTCATTATTTTAGGGCGATAAAAATAAAGTAGTAACAGGTCAAAACTTTTTTTCATTGATAGAGTCACTTTTATTGAGAACTATAGTTTTAGGGAAAGTTAAAACTTTAGACAAAAATCTTTGATCAGATAAAAATTTTTTTTTTGCTTTTTAAAGAAAAAATAGTATCATTTAACCCTGAAGTTCCAGTGCATCACTTACTTGACTCCTAGCTTGTTGGGGACAGTAGCTGGGACCCTGTGTCTACGCCTGTCGCCTGCGCCTGCTGCCCCGCAGCCGTGCGCGAGTGCATCTCCATCCACATTGACCAGGCTGGTGTTCAGAGCGGCAACGCCTGCTGGGAGCTCTGCTGCCTGGAATATGACATCCAGGTCGATGGCCAGATGACAAGTGACAAGAGTATTGTTGGGGGAGAGATGACGTCACATCTTCAGTGAAACAGGTGCTGGCAAGCATGTGCCCAGGGCAGTGTTTATAGACCTGGAACCCACAGTCATTAATGAGTTTCACTGGGACCTACTACCAGTTCTTCCACCCCGTGCAGCTTATCACAGGCAAGGAAGATGCAGCCGGTAACTGTGCCTGTGGATGCTACACCACTGGCAAAGAGATCATTGACCTCGTGTTAGACCAAATTCAGAAACTGGCTGACCAGTGCACAGGTCTTCAGGGCTTCTTGGTTTTCCACAGTTTGGTGGGGGAACTGGTTCTGGGTCCCCTTCCCTGTTAATGGAGTGTCTCTCAATTACAACAATAAGTCCAAGCTGGAGTTCTCCCTTACCCAGCCCCCCGCCCAAGTTCCCAAGCTGTACTTGAGCCCTACACTCCATCCTCACCACCCATACCACCCTGGAGCTCTCGGATCGTGCCTTCATGGTTGACAACAAGGCCATCTATGACATCTGTCATAGAAACCTTGATACTGAGAGCCCAACCTACACTAACCTTATCCGCCTTATTAGTGAGATTGTGTCCTCCATCACTGCTTCCCTCCGGTTTGATGGGACCCCTGAATGTCGATCTGACCAAATTTCAGACCGACCTGGTACCCTATTCCCCCGCATCTACTTCCTTCTGGCCACATACCACCCCTGCCCTCTCTGCTGAGGAAGCCTACCACAAACAGCTTTCTACAGGAAAGAGATCACCAACGCGTGCTTTGAGCCAGCTAACCAGATGCTGAAGTGTGACCCTCGCCATAGTAAATAACATGGCGTGCTGCCTGTTGTACCATGGTGGCATGGTTCCCAAAGATGTCAGTGCTGTCATTGCCACTATCAGGTAAGTGCAACATCCAGTGCGTGGACTGGGGCCCTGCTGGCTTCAAAGTTGGCATTAATTACCAGCTTCTCACTGTGGTAGCTGGTGGAGACCTGGCTAAAAGCACAGTGAGCTCTGTGCTCGCTGAGCTACACTACAGCTATTCCTGAGGCCTGGGCTTGCCTGGACCATACGCTTGACCCGATGTGTGCCGAGCGTGCCTTTGTCCACTGGCACGTGGTTGAGAGCATGGAGAAACGAGAGTTTTCCGAGGCTTGTGAGGACATGACTGCCCTTGAGAAAGATTAGGAAGAGGGTGGTGTGGATTCTGTTGAAGGAGAGGGGGAGGGAGAAGAATACTAACAACCATTCTTTTCAGCCCTGCAACATGTCATACTCAGAACTTCAGGTTCGACAGCTGACAGGCCTTACAGCTTTCTGGTTAGGTTTTCTTTGCTTTTACCTGCGATCATGTCTTTTTAACGTATACCTATAAGATTTCCCCCTCATGTTTCAAAGTAAATGCATTGAGAAAGGAAAAAAATCTAATTTCTACGATTATCCTAAGATTAAGCTTCTTTTCATATCCTCGTTATTTGTTTTTCCTAGAGATTATCTGGTTATTTTCTTTCCCTAATTTCCAACGAGGTGTTCATCTTTTTCTCCTTGATTTATATATTTCAAGGATATTAAAGACATACAACACGTTCAGTGAACAAACATAATGCAAATTATTGTGGGGAGTGGTTAGGGAAGGTTTCCAGGAGGGGCTGTCCAAAAAGGGACTCTAAGGGCCAAAGGTGAGAGAAAAGCACGTGCAGGAACCACAAGCAATTCCGTATGATTGCAGCACCTAGAACCAGGCAGGTCAACCAACCTCTACGGAGAAAGATATCAGTGGGGAGGTAGGAGCCTGCATGGGTCAGGTTGGAGAACTTGAACTTTATCCTGCAGGACAAATGGTAAAGAGTTTCTGACTGATCATAGCAGAGGTCAGCTTTACATTTTCCATAGCTCACTGGGTGGGGTGGGGTGGGGTGGAGAGATGGATTTCAGGGGCTGGAATCTAATTTCAGACCGGAGGCTGGATGAACGGCAGTTGGAGTCCTACGAACACAGATAAGCAAATTAGGAGATATGGCTTGTATGGATGGGGTGAGGTGGACAGGAAAAATAACAGCAGGTGTTGAAAGGATGGTTCATGGTTCATCGTCTCTAACGTCAGTAGGAAGTCCCTTTACTATCTGAGAAAGAATGGGAGGAACAGTTTTGGAGAGAGAAAGTGATTTTAGAGATGTGTTTTACACAGTTTAGAGATGTGTATGTAACAGCTGCCTGGAGACAGCCCTCAAGCACGGGGCCTACTAGGATGATGCAGGGAAGGGCTAAAGTTTGTCAAGTGGTGGTCCTAATCTTGTGAGTGGGTGAGATTCTGCACGTCGGTAGAAACGGGATAACCAGCAAGGATCCCCTAAGTCGACAGCTGCAGGAATGGTGTGAACGAGCACGCGGATTCAAGGCTGCAGGGGGCGCTCCCAAACTGGGGAACATGGAACTGGGAGGAGGTGGCTGGGGCTCCCACAGCCCCGGGATGATAAGCCAGCTCCAAGAGAGCATGCCAGGGAGACCAGGCTCAACCTGGGGAATACCGAGGGTCCTCTGAGGTCGGGCTAGCTCCTTTGATCGGGAAGACGAAGCCGGGCTGCTGAAAAGCCAGAGCCTGGGTCCATCCCCCTGCCCGGCAGTTCCTCCAAGGAGGTCCAGCTCGCTGAGATTGGGACCTGGAGCTCTCCTGACTCCATGAATTCTCCCGGAGGCCTGACTTGTCTTTGCAGCTTGGCGTTGCCCACCGCATCACCCTGAAGAGAGCCCTTACCTGTCCAAGAATGGGGTGAAGGTGGAGCAGGGCAGTGGGTATAAAATAGTCAACCTAGACACGGCTTCCGAGACCACGGGGTGTGAGTCAGAGTTTAGATGGGATAACAGGGGAGACACGGCGCTAGGACAAAGAAAAGCCCCAAACTCCAACGTGGGGATCCCCGAGGAACACCTTCCAGGGACCGGGCAGATGGCACGCAGGAGCGGGGTCGGTGAATCAGGAGAGCAGGGAAGAGACAGATCACGTCTGGACTGGGGTCTGGAGATTCGGGATAGGCAGACAAGGCTTGGATGGGGGACACTAGAGGTAGGAAAGCGAGGAACCAGAATGGCAGCGTAGCGTGGGGAGGAGGTCGCAGAAGCGGGGGAAGAGGAGCGGACCCACAGGGAGCCAGAACATCGAGCCGTGAAGAAGCTGGGGGCTCTAGCTGTCCGGAGGAGAGTGGAAGGCAGAAGCCGAGACGGGTGCGCTAGGGGAACGGGAAGACAGTTGGGGAAATCTGGGGAGCGCCGACAGGCCGAACCCGAGACCCAACCGGGGGCAAGGCTTCAGGATGGGGCTCCGTAGAGGCAACAGGGCAATGCCTCCAAGGTTTCCCGCCAGGCTATGACTCCACTTTAAGGTGATAACGCAGAGACCCAGCCCACGCCTGCACCGGCTCCCCCAGCCTTCTTGTTTGTCTTCAAGTCCGGCCGGAACCGGCTTCTACTTGCCACGGGGCGGGAAGGTGCCTGCTGATTGGCCAACGCCTGTTTCCAGCCCTACTTAGCCAATCAGCGTGCTGCAGTGTTTTCATCTTGGGGTCCTAATAAAAGGGCTGGAATAAAAGGGGACAGAAAAAGCGGTGGCCGGGCCCGATACACGTCAGTAGGAGCCGGGTGAGCTGGATCCTGGGAATCTGGGCCTCGGGTGAGGGTGCTGGGAGGGATGGTGCGGGCAGGGAGATGTGTGAATACAAAAGGAAAGGCTGGTTGGATGAGGAGGCGCCAGAAGAGATGAAGAACTGAGGAGGAGCAAGGAAATAGATGGGGATCTGCTCCCATCGAAACGCGCAAATTGCGGGGGAAAGAGCCCGGGATGAGGGTCGTGCAAGTGGCCCGCGCCGCCGGTTTGAACCGGCTTCGCCTCTCCCGTGAGGGGTTCGCGTGGCTGCAGCGCCTAGCGACCTAGACAGCGGCCAATGGCACGGCAGTTCCTGTGCCGGCAGGCCAATTAGTGAGCCGTGGGCGGGCCGTACCGGAGCTCGGTGCGCTGATCTTGTGGTTGAAGAAACCAGCTCTGGGGAAGGGTCTCCAGAGCGGGCGGGAGGGCGCCTATCAGGGTCTGAGGGAGTGACCGCCCTCAGGTATGCCCCTGCCCCAGTGTCGGAACCTCAGGCTGCTACTCTTGCAATCCCCCAAGCTGTGTCAATTCTGCTGGGAGCCAGGACTATTCCACGTCCCTGAGCATGCGTTAGTCCCTTCCTGCTAGCATACCTCAGTTTACCTCTCAGTGAGCTGCGCGAGAAGTCTTCCTCCTGGCGGGAGCTGCTCTCCCACGCAGAGGGCAACCTTACGAGTCCGCCGCGGTGGGTGGCCCAGGCCCCGGGCAAGGCTGGGACTTCCTTCGCTGCGCGCACCTGCAGTCTGGCTCGCGGAGGGGTAACAAGCTCCGCGCTGCCGCAGCGGCGGACCTTGGCCGCTCCGACTGGGTAGGGCCGGGCGCTGACGCCGAGGTCTGTGCGCAGGTGGCTACAAAGCCGAAGCCGGGCCACCTCGCCGCGTCATGGCGCCCACCCTGGCCACTGCCCATCGGCGCCGCTGGTGGATGGCCTGCACGGCCGTGCTGGAAAACCTCCTCTTCTCGGCAGTCCTCTTGGGCTGGGGCTCGCTGCTCATCATGCTCAAGTCGGAGGGCTTTTACTCCTACCTGTGTACTGAGCCAGGTGAGACGGGCGCGTCGGACTCGGTCGGGGTGGTTCCTGAGTGGGGGCTTTTGGATATAGGGCGAGATGGCGGTGCAGACCTAACCAGCAATACTACCTCGCTGCACAGCGCCTCCCAGTTAGCAAAGGCCCCATTTGATCCTCTCCTAGCTCTACTGGGTAAATTATCATTGTCCCTGTTTTATGGATGAAGAAACTGAGGCTCAGACAGATCTTCTGACTTGTCCAAGGCCACACAACTGGGGACTGTAACAGTAATAGATCCAGAACCCCTGAGTCCAGGGTGTTCTTTTCGCCACCTGGGAACATTGCTGAACGCTTCTGGTCCCAGTGCCTGGCACATCACTTGCCTTGGAGTAAGCGTGTCACTCCTTTTTTGTAGAAAAAGGAACTCCTGACTCAGTGGCTAGGGTGTAACGAGAGAGGAAGTGGTTTGGCCTCCACTCCATGGAAGGTTCATCCAGAATCTAGATGTTTTTTAGTCAGACCATTATGGAGACTTTTAAGGGTTTGTTGAATACAATTTCTTGTCTATATTTGCTGCTTTTTGATTTTCCAAAGGACATTATGTCCCACAGGCTGTGAGAACATCTCAGTAGCCATTGCCCCTTTGGCGGGGCTGGGGAGCGCGGTGGAGGGGGGGCGGGGGGCGGGGAGAAGAGAGGCAAGAGGGGTATTTATAGAAATGATGCTGGGTCTGTCCTTTCCCTTTGACACACCGTTGGTGGTGGTGAATGCAGGAAATATAATCCCCCTTCCTACCTTCATACTTCCCAACTCTGTTTGAAGGTCCTAATTGTTGCACATCAGTAGGTTCAGCCCAACAGTGGGACTCAAGTGGCTGCCAGCTCCTACCCTCCTACCCCCTTCCTAGGCAGCCTTGGTAGGAAACATTTCCCTCTGCCCTCTTGTTGCCTCCAACGGTTCAGCCTAACAGTTGAACTCAGTAATGCCTCTTCCCAGTGCCTTGGTCAGCCAGCCCCTCTGCCTGAGTCCCTTTAGGTGGAGATAGCCCAAGCCTGACCCTTGATCATACCAGCATGCCTTCTCTTCCTAGAGTTCTTACTTTTGAGGAAGAAAAAGTTTTGATCCAGCTCCTGCTGCCTGTAACCCTCTGTAGAGTCCTCCCTGCTTTCCTTCTCTGGTCTTCCCAGGGTATTCCTGAGTGTTCCAGTCTCTTGGGAAGCCTGGAGGAGAGGCTGAGGGCAGGAAGAAGGGAGGGGATGCACACACTCCTGGGTGAGGGCAGAGTATGTCATTTAGAACCTTGAGCCACTCAGAAATATTTCCTGATAGTCTTAAGGGTTCTTGGCATACCTTTCCCCATGTCAGCAAGAAATCTTGGGAGATGAGAAAGTCACTCAGACCTTGTTCCTTAAACAAGCTTTCTATTCTGCCCAAGAGATGTTAGATTAATTAGTGACTTTCTGGAAGGAACAGGTTGGAGTATTTGGCTCCTCTTCTCCCTCTCTCCATCCTTTTAGATCATGACCCTTACTGCTTGCTTCCGTGGGCTCTTAGGCTTCATAGAAAGTTTAAAAAACAGAAGGAAACGTTATCACCCCCAGATGAAGCTTCTGGCATCTTGTCCACACTGGAGGACTGCTCTATTCAATTTGGAGGGGGGGGACCCTCTTGGTATTAGAAGGTTAGATTTTAGGGTTTGTCCACTGATTTAATATACTTCATGGTATCAGCAGCACAGGGGCTAGTCACTTCGTTCCTGTCTCAATCTTGGCTACTTCCATTGTTTAAGCGGGAGGAGTCCCAGAGATTGTGCCAGCCCAGTGCTGAGTTGGTATTTAAGCCCTTAGGCTTGACAAGTACCCCCCCCCCCCCGCCCCGGCCGTAACTCAGAGTGAAGGTGAAGGGTCAGGGTGTGGGTTGAACATCAAGTTCTTATCCCATGCCTTTGCTCCTGCCTGATTTTGGTTTTTCTGACTCTCTGGCAAACCCACTGACTCAGCATCCTCAGCGGACAAGCCTGCTGATTCCACACAGCTTATCTCTCTGGCTTCTTGGAGTCCAAGTAGCCTGTCCAAGTAGCCTGTTGCTCTTCAGGGCTGGGAATCCTCGTGCCTCGCCTGACTGGGAGTGACTGGAGGATTTAGGGTCAAGGTTTCTGCTGAGGTCAAATATTTTCAAACCTGGTGGATGGCTGAATCACAGAGGAGCGGTTAAGCCATTTACTGAATTTATTGAACTAGACTTGTGAAAAGATGACCAGCCCACAGCTGATTGAGATGCAAATTTGTCACTTTTTGTTGCTCTTAGAACTCGTGCTTTGGTTTGTTCTCTAAAAAAAGTTTCCCTGAACCTGTTGAAAAGTTCTCAGAACTCTTTCTTGGGACTCCAGCCAGAATCTGGCCACAGACAGACACCGTGCCAGGTTCCAGCTTGGTGAGGTGGGAGAAGGAAAGAAAGAGCCCCTTTCTCTGTTGCCCCTGAGCTCCTTTTGCTCTGCCTCCTGGACAGTCAGGATCGATGACAGGGGACAGGACAGGGCATTTCGGCTTTGCCTCCCCAGCCCAGTCCCCCTGGTATGGACAGGAGACTGACTGCAGTTGCGTTCCTAGCCCAGGAGGAAGGGGGCTTTGCCAGTACTGTGTCCTTTGGCCTCTGGATGGCCACTGTAACCCCCCACACCTGACCTCTTTCTTTGTTTCTCTGTTATCTCGTGGCCTCCTTCAGCAGGGTCAGCTCAGAGGGCTGGATGTTTTATCTCCTCTTTCATTTAACCTATACATTAAGTGAACATTTTTGAGGTGCTGTCCTGGGGTGCAGGGCAGTCCTGGCCCTCAGGGAACCCTCAGTCTGTCAGCATCAAACAAGTCACCTCACACGACCTCTGTAACTTCAGGTGGTGGTCAGGACTCCAACAGAAGGCAGGGTGTCCGGCCTGAGAGTGACAGTGGGTCTGATTCAGCTTGGGTGGGAGGGCCTCTCTGATGTTTAGGCAGAAGCGCGGACAGTGAGGTGGGGTGAGTCCGGAGAGAAGGGGGCAAGGGTCCCCAAGGGAGACTGCGTGCTGGAGAAGGGGAGAGAAAGCAGGGGGAGGCGCGCAGGGCCCTGGGCCTGCAGGGCGGAGGAGGCTGCTCGGGGAAGCTTGATTTTATTCTCAGTGCCACAGGAGCGAGGAGGGGGGGAGATCAGTTTCATCTCTTTAGATTTATGAATTGTTGAAGGCTTGCCACATGCTGCGTAGGGTGGGGGCTTGAAGATGAGAGACATGGCCTTTGCCTGAGGAAGTCACAGTTCAGCCCAGCCGAGGACTCCGAGGCAGGCCCCAGGCCTGCAGTCCGGATCGCTGTAGTCACTGTACCTGTGGTGTTGGGGCAGAGCCCGCTTGGTGTTGGAAGGTTAGATTTTAGGGTTCTTTTGAAACAAAGTCGGAAGTGGCCCTTGGGGTTCTGAGAGGGCAGGGCGGCCGCCCTCACCCCTGGAAGTCCCGCCAGGCTGGTCCCCACTAGGCTGGGCCGAGGCTGCAGATGGGGACAGGAGGCATGCCTGTGGCTTTGAGGCCCCCACTTTTCATTTTTAGTCAATTGATTGTTTAATTGTTTTAATCTAATCTTTATTGTATTTTTTTCCATTACCGTTTAGTTCCCTTATACCCCCTCTCCCTTACTTTTTATTTCTATTGAATTTATTGGGGTGACATTGGTTAATAAAATTATGTAGGTTTCAGGTGTACAGTTCTGTAACACATCATCTGTATATTGTATCGTGTGTTCACCACCCTAGTCAAGGCTCCTTCCATCACCATTTATCCCCCATTTACCCTCTTCTACCTCCCGCCCCCACCCCTTTTCCCCTCTGGTAATTACCATACTGTTGTCTATGTCTCTGAGTTTGTTGGGTGTTTTCACTCAGCTCCCCAACCCCCCTCCCCTCGATCAGCTGTCAGTATGTTCTCTGTCTCTATAAGTCTGTCTGTCTGTCTATTTGGTTCATTAGATTCCACGTATAAGTGAGATCGTATGGTATTTGTCTTTCTCTGTCTGGCGTATTTCACTCGGCATAATATTCTCCAGGTCCGTCTATGCTGTCCCAAAAGGTAAGATTTCCTTCTTTTGTACAGCTGAGTAGTACTCCGTCCTGGAAATGCACCACAGCTTTTTTTATCCACTCATCTGCTGATGGGTGGCACTTGGGCTGCTTCCAAATCTTGGCTATTGTAAATAACGCTGCAGTGAACATAGGGGTGCGTATATTCTTTCAAATTAGTGTTTCAGGTTTCTTTGGCTATATTACCAGAATTGGAATCGCTGGGTCTTAAGGCAGTTCCATTTTTAATTTTTTGAGGTAACTCCGTACTGTTTGCCGCAGTGGCTGCCCCAGTCTGCATTCCCAGAGGGTTCCCCTTTCTCCACATCCTCTCCAACACTTGCTGTTTTTTGATTTATTGATGGTAGCCATTCTGACATGTGTGAGGTGATACATCATTGTGGTTTTAATTTGCATTTCTCTGATGATTAGTGATGTTGAGCATCTTTACAAATGTCTATTGGCCATCTGTGTGCCCTCTTTGGAGAAGTGTTTTTTCAGGTCTCTTGCCCATTTTTTATTGGATCATTTGTTGTTTTGGTGGTGAGTTGTGTTAAGTTCTTCATAAATTTTGGATGTTAACCTCTTATCAGATGTGTCATTGGCAAGTAAGTTCTCCCATTCAGTGGGTTGTCTTTTCATTTTGTTGGTTTCCTCCAGTGGGCGTAATCTTTTTAGTTTGGGGTAGTCCCATTTGTTTATATTTTCTGTTTCCTTTGCTAAAGGAGATGTATTAAAAAAGATCATGCTATGAGAAATGTCTACAATTTTACTGCCTATGTTTTCTTCTAGGATTTTTATGGTTTTGAGCCTTCATTTAAGTCTTTAATCCATTTTGAGTTTATTCTTGTATTTGGTGTAAGAAGGTTGCCTAATTTCATTTGTTTTGCGTATATCTGTTCAGTTTTCCCAACACCATATATTGAATCGGCTGTCTTTACCCCATTGTATGT